TCGTTTTCGCAACTTGGTCGGAGCGATAGGGAGACTTGAACGTGCTAGTCCTGCCTTGTCTGCCATGGTATTCGTTATTTCCAGCACTGAACTATTGCCTTGGCACATTCCCAAACGTTTTGCCGTCATCGTCAGTTAGAGGCGCCATCGTAACCACAGAATTGCAAGTTATCAAAGTGACAAGTTAAGGCAATCCCCTTGACCAATTTTCTGTTCAACCGTTGTGGCATCACTCCTCGCCCCTATTTTTTGTTCTTTCTTCTAGTGCAGCATCCCTTTCTCTCAACCCCACTTCATATAGCTCATCCACTTACACAATTATGTTTCATCGTTTCCTCCTATGTCGTCTAAGAGTGTTTGCAACAATTGGGTTGAGTGAAGCCTAATCATCTCCACCACCGGTACTAGATATCGTTTGCAGGGCTCCTGACCTACATTCTGACCTCCCTTTTTTCCTTCCCAGCTTGCCAATTGGCCACGGCTAAGCATCAAAATCACTGTTTGGCTGTCTGAAATCTGGCTGCTTAATATCCTTTAATTCCCATCCTTGATTACGCTATATTTGATGATTTAGATCAGATAATGCCCGTGCCCATGTCAGTGCCTGGGAATCTTTCTATCCATTGGCTTCAAACCCATGACTTGATTATCTTCTCCCTCATCCCCACCCACATTCTGTCTCATTCTTTGGGGCCCTGTGTCCTGCTTAAGTCATAACTGCTGGCGTGAGAATACACCGCTTCCCTTTTTTTCTTTGAATCGCGAAAACCACACTTGTCTCTCAAGTTGACACTCCCATTTAATCCTATGGTACTGGGATGATGTTCCTGTGTGTATATAGGCTGGTATCCCCCATGGTCAGGAATGACGCCGATCACCTCATCAGACATAGGTAACAAAAATACACACATCAACGCACACACTGGTAACCTATATCTGGCCCACCAGCCTTTGTTCCTCATGAACCGCTCCTTAGTGATGTGTGGGCAAACTGGTTGTCCTTTCCTTCAGAATTGTACGAATGTTCAATTTAACTAGTATTG